GGTTTTGGCTGTTTTTACTTAAAATGTTGCTGATACTTTGCGTTTTCCAGAGCAACGAAGACTTTTCATTTTAGTTATTTACAGCTTTCAACAACTGAGTAAAACATACTTTTCCAAACAAAATTTGGAGCATATTTTTTTCTGATTTCTCCAGAACTTGGAAACTAGTTGTGAGTTTTCTTACCTTATGATGATAGTGATTTGCATGAGTTCATTAAGAATGTTTTCTTTTGCAACAGGTCACAATTGGAGAAACTGTTTGAATTTATGGGTATTTATTTTATACTTTGGATTGTAATTCAATATGATTTTATATCTTTTGGGGTCACATTGCTCCAGGTTTAGCCTTTTGGAGTTCTTTAAGCAGATTCCTATGTTCCTTCAACATATCTAAATAAGTTGTTTTTGTTTGTTTTTGGAGTATTCCATTATTTGCCAGCACTGCAAAGTGGCTCCAAGATCATCTTGTATAGTCCCAGTTCCAGTCCTAGAATCAGCCATTTCTCCAAGAAGACCTGGTTTGTTTTATTGGAAAATAAGATTAGAAATCAAGATCCGTGTGTGAGATGTGCTTGTTGCTTAGTATGATGCCTTTGCCTCTAGACCCACGTCTTATGGAGCAAGGACACAGGTGTGTGGATTATTGTTTGTGTTCATAATGCATGTGTGTATAAATACATAAAAATACATCCACACCCCTATCTATAACAATTTCAATGTGTAAATATCTGTGTCTATCCTAACCTAAATATGAGTCTACACTGATATTTCCAACTTAACTACTACCTGAGTTATTCTAGCCACCTCTGCTTGCTGTCTATAAATTCCCACTCCAACAGTGACAAACCTGGCTCCCACCATCTACTATCCACTTACTGAATTGTTCAATCTGGGTATACATACCCAGTGGTTTCAGAATTGCCACTGTTCTATTTATCAAATAGAACAGCGCTTATTTATTTACAGTTTCTTTTGCCTTCAGTGACAGACCCGAATCATTTTTAAAGTTTCTTAGGTCAGTACCTCCTCCCCATACACTGACTTTATTGCAGTTGTTTTATACATTTGTATACAGTTAGATTTTCCTGTCACAGCTTACATTTCTTCCTGAGATCTCCTGACTTCCTATTTATTTATTATTATTATTTTTTTTTTTTTTTGAGACAGAGTCTCACTCTGTCGCCTAGGCTAGAGTTCAGTGGTGTGATCTCTGCTCACTGCAACCTCCCCTTTCCGGGTTCAAGTGATTCTTCGGCCTCAGCCTCCTGAGTAGCTGGGACTACAGGTATGCACTACCACGCCCAAGTAGCTTTTGTATTTTTAGTAGAGTCGGGGTTTCGCCATGTTGGCCAGGATGGTCTCAATCTCTTGATCTTGTGATCTGCCCTCCTCAGCCTCTCAAAGTGATGGGATTACAGGTGTGAGCCATAGCGCCTGGCCCTGACTTTCTATTTTTAAAAACGTTTGCACATATGAAAGTTTACTCTTTGTGCTACAATTCTGGGTTTTAACAAATGTATAAAGACATGTATCTACCTATCTCAATCCATTCATATTGCTATAAAGGTATATCTGAGACTGAGTAATTTATTTTTAAAAAAGATTTATTGGGATCACAATTTTGCAGGCTGTACTGGAAGTGTGGTGTCAGCATCTGCTTCTAATGAGGCCTCAGGAAGCTTCCACCCATGGTAGAAGGGGAAGGCAAAGAGTAAGGGATGCAGCTCTGTCACATGGCAAGAGAAAGAAAGCAAGAGAGACCAGAGGAGGTGCCAGACTCTTGTTAACAATCAGATCTTGCAGAAACTAATACAACAATAACTCAGTCGTTATCCTGAGGATAGCACCAAGCTATTCATAAGGGAACTGTCTAATTACCCAAACAACTCCCACCAGGACCCATCCCCAACATTAGCAATCAAATTTCAACATGATGTTTGACATTTGGAGGGGACAAATATCCAAATTATATGTGTCCCTGGCCCCCCAAATCTCATGAACTTTCCACATAACAGAATACAATCATTCCTTTCCAATAGTTACCAAAGTCTTAAATTGTTTCAATTCAGCTCAAGTGTCCAAAACCTCATCTGAGACTCAAGGGAAGTTTGTTTATAGCTGTGAGCCTGTAGAAACAAAAACAAGTTATTCACCTCCAAGACACAATGGTGGTATAGACATTGTGTAAACATATCCCAAAAGGGAGAAGTTGGCCAAAATCAAAGAGTAACAGGCCCCATGTAAGTATGAAGTCCAGCAGGCCATACATTAAATCTTAAAGTTCCATAATAACCTCCCTTGTGTTGCATTCTGGGCACACTGGTATGAGTGGGTTCCCAGAGTCTTGGGCACCCTCACCCTCATGGCTTTGCTGGGCACAGCCTGCATGGCTGCTATCACTGCTAGGAGTCTGGTGTTTGTGACTTTTCCACACTGAGTGTGCATACTGCTGGTGGCTCTAACATTCTGGCGTCTGGAGGGTGACGATTTTATTCTCACAGCTCCACTAGACAGTGACCTAGTGGGGATTCTGTGCAAGGTCTTCAACCCTACATTCCCCCTTGGCATTCCCTTACTAGAGTTTCTCTGCAGGGGCTCTCCTTCTGGGGCTGGCTTCTGCCTGGGCACCCTGGCTTTCCAACACTTCATCTGAGACGTAGACGAAGTTGCCGAGTCTCCACCACTTTTAGATTCTGTGTACCTATTGACTTAGCACCATGTGAGAGACACCAAGGCTTATAGCTTGTGCCCTGTGGAGCAGCTGCCTGAGCAGTACCTGGAGCCCTTTGAGCTGCTGGGACTGGAACTGCAGGAACACAGGAAAGCAGCATCTCCAGGCAATACAAGGCAGCAGCACTCTGGGCCTGGCCCCTGAAACTCTTCTGTCCTATTAGGCCTCTGTGATGAAAGGAGCTGCCCCAAAGATTTTTGAAATGCTTTTGGGAACTTTTTTCCACTGTCTTTACTCTTAGCCCTTGGCTCCCTTTGAGTTATGCTAATCACTTTAGCAGCCTGCTGCTCCTGCTCAGTCATAATGTTGAATTCTTCCCTTGAAAATGCTCTTTCCCTCCCTACTACATGGCCAGCTGTGAATTTTCTAAAGTTTTATGCTCTGCCTCCTTTTTAATTATAAATTCCAACTTCAAATCTTTCCTTTGCTCCCATATCTGATTGTAGGTTGTTAGAAGCGGCCACCCTACTTCTTCTTTTTTTTTTTTTTTTAGATGGAGTTTCACTCATGTTACCCAGGCTGGAGTGCAGTGGCGCGATCTCGGCTCACCGCAACCTCCGCCTCCTGGGTTCAGGCAATTCTCCTGCCTCAGCCTCCTGAGTAGCTGGGATTACAGGCACGCACCACCATGCCCAGCTAATTTTTTGTATTTTTAGTAGAGACGGGGTTTCACCATGTTGACCAGGATGGTCTCGATCTCTTGACCTCGTGATCCACCCGCCTCGGCCTCCCAAAGTGCTGGGATTACAGGCTTGAGCCACCGCGCCCAGCCCCACCCTACTTCTTGAGCTCTTTGCTGCTTAGAAATTTCTTCTGCCGGATACTCCAGGTCATCGTTCTTCAGTACAGCCTTCCACAGATCCCTAGAGCATGAACATAATGCAGTCACATTCTTTACTAAGGAGTAACAAGGGTGACCTTTGTTCTACTTCCTAAGATCCTCATTTCCATCTAAGTCCCCCATCAACCTGAACTTCAGTATCTATATTTCCACTAGCATTTTGGTTGCAACCACTTACCTGCAATCTTTCTTCTTTCTAATATGTACATTCTATAATGTACACATTTAAAGCTATAAACTCTTTCCAAGCATTGCATCCACTGCATCCCATCAATTTGGATAAGTTGTGTTTTCACTTTCATTTAGTTCAAAAAAATGGTTTTCCAAGTCTTTAAAAACTTTCTAGCTATCTTTATTACTTATTTCTACTTCAATTCCATTGTGGTCTGAGAACATACTTTGTATAATTTCTGTATTCTACATTTGTTAATGTATGTTTTATGTCCCAGAAGGTGGTATACCTGGGTGACCTTGAGAAGAATGCATATTCTGCTGTTGTTGGATGAAGTATTCTATGAATGTTCATTAGATAAGAGTTGTTTGATAGTGCTATTTAGACTGACAGTATACTTACCAATTTGTTTTTGTTCCACATATCATTAGACTGTGTGCATCATGGATCATTATGTGTTTTTGAATTTACCCCTTTATCAATAAATGGTGTCCTCTGTGTTTCTGATTATTTTCTTGTTCTGAGAGGAAGGTGGAGCATGGTCTTTAGTGTGTCCATGTCCCTGGAGTGTGACCAGCACTGTGTTTCTTACATTTGAATTCTTCCCCCACCCTCCACCAGTGAGGCAGGAAGACTAGAGCAGCCTGGAGGTTTCTAAATAGCTTTCCTTGCAATATACTTTCTTTATAACACCTAATTCTAACATGAAATTAAAATCTAGAGTTTGCTTGTAAGTTAAGCCGAACCAAATTTCCCTTATATTAATAAATATTCTCAGCATTATAACCACATTTTAACTGCTCTTAATTAAGTCCTAAAACCATTTGTTAAATATATATGTGTATATTTTAAATGGGTATACATTTAAATACATACATAATTTTTAAAAATATATGTATATATAAAATTTCTCCATAACTGATATAACCACATAACAAAAAAAAAAAGTACAGAAAGGAAACAAATCTGAAGAAACTGTTTACAATTGCTTTTCCCACAGTTTGGGTTTTTCACATTGGAGAATAGACAATGTATAAGTGAGAAAAAAATGCCACCAGAAAGCTAACAACGTTGTACATTAAGCAATTCAACCTTTGTTATACATATAAAATTTGAAGTTAAGAACGTTTTCGGTTGATATCTGAGGAATACACCGTAAATGTATACATATATATGTTTTACTTAGTTTCTAAGTAGGGAAACCTTGTCAGGTCACAGTAAGTAAAGTTCTACAAAGAAAATGCCTTGCTTCCTGAATTCTGGGGCTGCTGGATGCTCACTTGAAGACGAGGACTTTTCTGGTGGGTGAACAAGTTACATTGGCTGACATCACAGTTATCTGCACCCTGTTGTGGCTCTATAAGCAGGTTCTAGAGCCTTCTTTCCGCCAGGCCTTTCCCAATACCAACCACTGGTTCCTCACCTGCATTAACTAGCCCCAGTTCCAGGCTGTCTTGGGGGAAGTGAAACTGTATGAGAAGATGGCCCGGTTTGATGCTAAAAAGTTTACAGAGAGCCAACCTAAAAAGGACACGCCATGGAAAGAGAAACGTTCACAGGAGAAAAACGCAGCTTGTCCGGCTTCTGGGAGGAGACTGATGAATATGAGCAGGTGCAGGTTGCTGAGCCCAAGGCCAAGGACCCCTTTGCTCACCTGCCCAAGAGTACCTTTGTGTTAAATGAATTTAAGCGCAATTACTCCAGTGAGGACACACTCTCTGTGGCACTGTCATATTTCTGGAAGCACTTTGATAAGGATGGCTGGTCCCTGTGGTACTCAGAGTATTGCTTCCCTGAAGAACTCACTCAGACCTTCATGAGCTGCAATCTCATCTCTGGAATGTTCCAGTGACGGGATAGGCTGAGGAAGAATGCCTTTGACAGTATCATCCTCTTTGGAACCATCAATAGCAGCTCCATTTCTGGATTGTGGATCTTCAGAGGCCAGGAGCTTGCCTTTCCACTGAGTCCAGTTTGGCAGGTGGACTACGAGTCCTACGCATGGCAGAAACTGAATCCTAGCAGCGATGAGACACAGCGCTGGTTCGAGAGTCCTTCTTCTGGGAGGGGGCCTTCTCGCATGTGGGCAAAGCCTTCAATCAGGGCAAGATTTTCAAGGAACGTCTCTTGCCATTACCTAGCTGCCTGCACATCCCCTTCAGGGAGATGGGAGTCATTAAAGGAAACTGAACATTGAAAAAAGGACAAGAAGAAAGAAAATGCCTTTCTTCCAAATTCAAAAAAATGTGTTTACATTTTATTCCACACAGGTATTAAAGGCTGTGAAGAAATCCAAGAATAATAAAATCTAGCAGGGAAGATGAAAACTGCGTACATTGAAAGGTATACTTAGAAATCTTATTTCTGTCCTCGAATTTTGGTTTCCTCACATACAGGATTCAAAGGTACAGCTACTTGGTTTGCAAACTTTTTTTATAACTCTTAAAATATGTGATTCTGTAATTAAAATAAATTATAAGTGATAAACATTAATTAGAGAAAAACTCGTTTTCAATAAGATGATAAAGAAAATTTGAGAAGAATTAATACAGTATCTTTAGAAAAGAGTTTGACATTAACTACTAAATTTGAAGGCAAACATTTCCTAAGACCCAGCAATCCACTTCTAGACAAATTCATGCACATTTTCATCAAGAAACACACAAGCAAATGTTAATTCAAATGTTATTTGTAACATCTCAATCTTGGAACCAACCCAAACACCTAAAGACATTTATAGAATAGATAAGTACACTGTGGGAATATTTATTATACCATGCAATAGGATATTATCCCATGCATAAACTGTCTTGATGTAGGATAATTTAGATGAAACTTAGATAATATTAAGTAAAATAATTCACACCCAAAATAATGCATACTGTATTATTCAAGTGAAATAAAGAGCTTCCATCCACTATCTATGAAGCCCTCCACCTGCCTGACATCAAGTTTTTTCCTAATGTGTATGCATTGCTAAAGGTCCTGTGTATTCATCCTGTGATAAAGGTTGAAAATAAGCAGTATGAAAATGGATGAAAACGTCTTAACGCATATTTGAGGAACACTTTGACAGACCAAAGGTCGAGTAATTTGGCTTTGCTTAACATAAATTTTGATATAAATCATGACCTGGATTTAATGGTGGACACATATATTAAACTCTATACAAGTAAGTTAGAGCTTCCCACAGAGAATTCAGAAATCATGGAAAGTACCTAAGAGACTTTTAAAAATAGGTTTTCTTATATTTTATATTTGGAAGAAAAGCTGTAAGGTGTATGTAAGCCACTTAATCACTAAATATCTTTGCCTATAGGACTTCATTGAATACATTAACCATTGATAATCTACCTGTTTAAATGACCCTTATTTGAAATCTCCTGCTTTGAAGGCCTATCTGTTCTTCCAGAAGAGAACGCTTAAAGTGCCATGTTTCCTTCTGTGTGATCTCTGCTGGTGGCACTCTGGAATTGTTTTAGTTAAGTCATTTTAGACATAGCATTTATTATATCTGTGGACCTCTACTCATTGGGTGTTATGAATTCTTTGAAGAAATATATTTTGAAGAGGTGTGGGAGGAAGAAATACATTTTATAAAATGTTATAGTGAAACTCACAGTTGACCTTTGACTAATGGGAGTTTTAAGTATGTTAAAAATCTGTACTGGACAGTTATAAGAAATTACCAGAGAGAAGCTTGTGAGATCACCAAAAAAGGATTTCAGTGTAGATTCTGTCTTTCTGAAATGAACTTAAGGAACAAATGACAGTAAAAGTTTGAATGGAGGAGCCTGCC